TGTTTGACTTTTGGTTTATAAAGATCTCTCCACTTTAGTTCCCATGGTAACTGCTGCGCAAAGACACCCTTTCCCTAATCATCTCCGCCGAGTTTAAGGCAATTTTGTAATCCAATCAAACCTAAAGCAGAGAATTTGCTTTCGCATTGAGAAAACCGCTACCTAACGAGCAAACAGTGACTGGGAGAGGCCAGATTTACAACGATGACCCTGGAGAGACACTTCATTACTGAATAATTAGCAGTTGCCGGAGTTTCTCAGCACGCCGAGGGGAAAGGCTTGCGGATGGTGGATGCGAGAGGGGCTGGTGTAATCCCGAGGTCTCCCGAAGCAAACGGTGCTGCGCAGAGCATCGGCACCAGCTGACGCAAACTGCAGCCAGGAGCGCATTGCATAACGGCAGAAACCGAGGCAGCGAAGCTCTTGCGATGAAGCTGAAGCTTTCGAGGACTCAAAACCCCAAAACGCGGTCCTTGGACCCCGTGAGCCCACGCTGGGGCAGCTCTGGTGCTGGGAGGAAGGAGGATGAGGCTGGAAACCCAGAGCTGCAAAAAAAGCAATTAGCTCTTGACTTTAATCCTTCAGACACTGAAGCCTGTAAGAGTGGCCAATTTTGCCATAAGGCTGAAGCTAGAAAACAGCCAAATAAATTAAGTAGGATCAGCCCGTGTTCCTACAGCGGTACAAAAGACAGCCCGAGGCCTTCCTATGACTTTCGGGGTCAGCCTGCTTTCACCTTGGGCTCCAGGACAATGACTTCACGTCTCCTGCCTCATATGATCCCTTGCAGGAACGCTCTCTGCATAATCTCCTGGCATTTCATAAACGCAGCCTCTGTAAATCAGGTCAGGGCTCTGATGCTGTAGCTCGCCCAGGGACTGCAGAGCTTGAAATAATGACCTGGCCAGCGCTCTGCTCTCCCCAAGTGGCCCTTCAAAAGCTCAGCCCCAGGCAGACAGCCCCGGGGTTCCTCCCCATCATTTGTCTGGTTCGGTTCAGCTTGCCATCAGGAAATGTAAGGGGACTTTAAAAAAAAAAAAAAAGAGAGAGAGAAAATATGCAGAAATAGAGCTGGTTCAAGTTGTTCGCGTTTCAAATATAGTTGAATTAACATTCTGCAAAAAAAAAAAAAAAAAAAAGGAAGAGAGTGGGTGAATTGGCATGGATGTTTTTCCCATTTTTGACCGCTTACGGAACTGTTTGAATTCACAAAATTTGTTCGTCTCCGTGGCTCTAGCTTTGGGCGATATGTTGAGACATTCAGGCACTTTGGTCTTGGTTTTTCACTCCCAGTCTGAAAGAAAACAAACTCCGAAGGAAGCAGGCTCTTTCTCCTCCCACTCCTACCTGCGGGATCTGTTTTTCTGAGGCACAGATGTCATTAAGAAAAAAAAAAAAAAAAGGAAAAAGAAGATGATACCTTGGTTACGCAGTCATTTTTTGCTTTATCATCTTCCGTATTTTATTAGAAATAATAATAATTAAAAAAAATAAAGCTCTGTGGGCAAGAGGTTTTGTTTCCTGGGCTCAAGTGTCTCATGGCTGAATCTCCCGTCTCTGACAAGTGTTCTTGCTGAGCAAACCTTTCCCTGCAGCTAAAATACTCATAACTCCTCTTCTGTCTCTAATAATAACCTAAACTTGTGCTTCAGCCTCTTTCTGTGCATCAGTAGCACTTACTCTGTCCTAACTGAATGTGGAGCTTACAGAGACCTGGTATTTTTGTCACCCCGGCCTTGGCCAAAATGACCAAAGCGGTGCGGTGCGGGGGGAAGAACTGCAGACTGAGCACCTGTACCCCATCTTCTTAGAAAAATCAACCTAAAAATAGGAGAAAGAGCATTACCAGGCACAGAAAAAGGACACCATGCTCTAACAGGATGCCCTAGCAGGCAATGCAGGTCATTCCTAACCAAGAGGATTTTTTTTTTTTCGCTCTCCTCCCTGTCTAGAAGCAGCCTCAGCCCTGCCGCCGTGTGGCAGCGAAAAGAAATCCCAAACTGATCCCCTGTGGGTTCACCCTACCAGGCAGGGGAAAAGGGACCTGCTTAGCACTGTGGGGTTGATTTTACAGATGGGAATTTGCCCCTGAGGATCTCCACCACCCCACCAGAGGGGCCGGTGCTTTGCAGGGGTGCTCAGAGCTCTCTTGGGGGATGGGGACAGTTTTTGGGGTTTGCCAAAAGGATGGCTGTTGGCAGGTCCACGATGGTCCTTAAGGATCGAGGGTGCTTTCCCCACTGATCATCCTTTCCCTTTTGGGTGGTGGTGCAAACTGAGGCCAAAGTTGGTTTTAAAGGTGGGATATGCTGGTAAAAGCACAGATCACAGCGCACAAACCCCTTTGTGCAAACACTTTAATCGAATTTAAATGCCAGCAGAGCACCTCTGACAGTCCGGATCATGCATTTTTTATCCCTTCTGTACACCGGGATGTGTGGACAAACCCTGAAAAAAGAGAACTCATTAAGGATCGGTACCAAAAGCTGTTTAATATATGTTGGGCTTCAACTTAGACCGTACAACCTGCAAAGGGAAAGAACCTCGAGGCCTGAGGATCCCTCTTCAGATTGAGGAATAAGTGGAGAAGGGCAATCCCAGGACGGTCTTGGAGACATGGCAGCTCCATCAAGATCAAAGCCACGGGGATCTGCAGCTTTGTGAACACTGAGGTACCTGAGATTGCTCCTGCAAGGAGCAATCCTTCAAAGATCCTTCAAGGGAGCATAAGAGGAGAGAAGGGGACTGGATGGTGGTGACGAGTAGGTTAAAGCCGTGCTGTGCCTCCATCCTCTGCCCGTTTCTAAAATAAGACATTTTTTCCTTCACGGTAACAGAGCAGGCACAAAAGAAAGGGAAAAGGGGTGGTAGAATCAGGAGCTGTGTTCGTGTGTTAAAGGCACTCAGCGTCATCTCCTGTTGGGTTGGTTATTAAATCTCTTTATTCTATTATAAGCCTTGAAAGGGCAAACATTGCTCTTACAGTTTGGGAGGGCTGAACAGGCGAGAGGATGCATGCATAAAAGATATGGCCAAGGTTTGCTTGTTTTCAAATGCCTCAAAACTTTTCAAAGAAGCAAGAAAATGTCAGTGTAATACTAACGGAGATGAGGATTAATCCACGGTAGTTATTAATTAAAATAATTATTAGTACCAAGAGAAGAGGAGGTATGAAGTCATATTTTTGGGGATCTTTCAAGCTGTTTCCATAGGAGCTTAGTGTGCCTCTGAAACTACTCTTTATTTACAGTAAACGCCTACCAGCTCCTTTCTCCTTGAGCACAGCAGCGTTAAATGGCAAAATCACTCTCCCCATCTCTCAGTCCCACACGTGCCCTTCTAGGTGGGATTCGGTCCCAGAAGAGCTCTCCTGTGGTGTCATCTGAAGGCTGTGTTGCAATTTGCTCCTGTTGTAGCCTCTATTCTGTTTTTCCTTTTGTTAACACACACATGGATGAAATCAAATTCATCCTCTGTTCAGTCATCTGTGTGGACACAGCTGTTTGGTAAGGCACATTTAATTATCCTCCTGTTCAGCATGTAAGAGAGGTGAGACCCTACATCCAGCCACTTTTGCTAGGATGTAGATCAAAGCCGTGTGGCTTGGTAGGCACCCGACCTCCACACAACAGTAACGCAGCACATTTGATAAGCATCATCTTATTCCCGAATGCATCTTAAATTATCAGGATGTGTACCACTACTCTGAAGAACTGATGACAACTCTTAGCATCTCGTGACTGATGAAGAACTGAAGTGTTCTTGGATTATCTGTAACAAAATTTCCCCCAAAAAAACAGTTATGACTAAAGCAGAATGGCAGTGAGAGTGCTGCCAGCAGTGAGTTGTTCCTGAACCCTGAATCAATGAATAATAACCTTCATCAAGTCCTTAGTAATGCCTTAGTGTCCTCATACAGGAGGAACATACACATTGTACTACAGAAAAGATGCCAAAATTAAAAAAAATCCCAAATGCTGATTTATTCCTTTCTCTGCCCTCCTCTAATGGCTGCTCCAGACTAGCTCTCTCCACCTGCCAAAGCCCTAAATTGTGGGATATTAAATTATGGCAAAAGCCCCTGTGAAAGATGCAGGGAAAGAAACGATCCAGGCAGAAAAGGTGACATTACCACAGCCTCTTCTGATTGAGAGCTGGCAAAAACTTTGTGGAGAGGATGTATGCAGTGATACGGCTTAGTGGAGGACTTTAGTTTTAGGTCAGGGGTTGGACTGGGTGATCTTGGAGATCTCTTCTAGCCTAGGTGATTGTGTGATTTGGTGATATGTGCGGATCAAAAAATAGATTAATCCCCTTGAATAGCTTAAGGTATCAACAAACATGCCGAGGGAGGTGGTGGCGTCACCATCCCTGGGGGTGTTGAAGGAGAGGTTGGATGTGGTGCTTGGGGACCAGGTGATCTTGGAGGGCTTTTCCAACCCTAATGGCTCTGTGATTTTATGATTTTAACTCCTGAACTGCCATGAATTGCTATGTTTTTCCCTGTCACCTTCCAGCTCAGCCTTGCCCCTTCCTCCCCTCCCCTACCACCACAGCCCACCCCAAGCACCCCCAGCTCCCTCCCCTCCTCAGGTAGGAAAAAAGGACACAGCACACATTCACAGCCTTTGCTTCAGATCTTTATTCACATTTAAACGTCTGCCCGTGAGGTATAAAGGAGAAGAAGCCCCATAGAGCTGGAGCAGCTCTGCAACATGGCGGCCCCCCCCCCGCCTCACCCAGCCCCTCCCAACATGGCGGCGCGCACAGCCCTTCCCGCCTCACCCATCCCGCTCAACATGGCGGCGGGAGAAGCCCAGGCGCCCCCCATTGGCCAGCCGCAGCGCCCGCGAGCCGTGATTGGCTAACCCCACCCCCTCTCCCCTCAACTCGACGCCCTATAGGCTGCCCCTCGCCTTAACCCCGCCCCTCTCCCCGCCCACACGCGCGCGGTGGGCGGAGAAGGGGGCGGGGCGTGCGCGATGACGTCAGACGCCGAGCACGCTGCGGAAGGCAGAAGCGCGGCGGCGCAAGATGGCGGCGGTCGGGTGGGGGAGCGCTCTGCTGGCGCTGCTCCTGGCGGCCGGCGGCGCCGCCGCGCTGGGCAGGCCCAGCCCGGTGCGGGTGCTGTCGGACGGCACGTGGAGGGAGCTGCTGCACGGCGAGTGGATGGTGGAGTTGTGAGTTTTTGGGGACCGGGGTGGGTAATGGGGAGGGAGGGGTTCCAGGAGGCCCCCTCCCGGTGATGGTTTCCCGTGTCCTGCCGCAGCTACGCGCCCTGGTGCCCCGCCTGCCAGAGCCTGCAGCCCGAGTGGGAGAAGTTCGCTGAGTGGGGGGAGGATCTGGATGTGAATATCGCCAAGGTGGACGTCACGGAGCAGCCAGGTGGGGCGGGGAGGCTAAGGGGAGGGTGTGAGGGGTGTGGGGAGGGGGCGGCTTTGGGGAACGGGAGGAGGTGGGGGCTGGGCTCTGGGGGGCAGCTCGGGCACCGGGCAGTGGGCTGTCCAGGCTGCCGGGGCACAAAATGCAACGGGGAGGCTTCTCTGGGGGCTGAATGGGAAGGCTTCGAGGAAATGCTTCTTCTTTAAGCACTATGCAGGCTTAAAAATTTTCCTTTAGCCTTTGCTAAAAGGGAGCATGAGGAACAGGTTTCTTTCTGCTGAAGCTTGCTTCCCTGATCTACTCCCCTATTCATGAGGGATTTGTAGAAACTGCTGAAGTTGGTGCTTTCTCTGAAGGCATGCAAGAACTCTTGAAACTTGCCTCACTCAGTTTGTTTTCGGTGAGCACTGGAGTCTGCACCTCCTTGTGGACAAAAAAAAAAAAGCATATTTGAAGAGCCGCAGCCCAAATGTTGAGCGGAGTGGTTACCCTCAGCCATCTCTTTTCCCATCCCCTGTGGAGAAGTTTTCTCCCATTCTTCATGGCCCCTTCCTTTAGAAGTTGTGCTGTACTTTGATACACACAAGTTCATGTGACCACCTAGGAGCAGCTGCTTTTATTTGGGTGTATGATAACAGTTCCAGCTCTTCCTTTTATACAACAATGCTGTACTTCTCTGAATATAACTTTTTTTTTTTCCACAGGATTAAGTGGGCGATTTGTCATAACAGCTCTTCCTACCATCTATCAGTAAGTATGCAGTGTGACTTTTTGTTTGAAGAGGAAATAACTTTTTATGCTTTTTTGGTGTAAGCAAATGAGATTTACCGTGCTTTTTAAAAACATGAGTTACAGAGACATCCATTGCCTTATCTCCAGTGACCTTACAGTGCCACCAGTTCCTTTTTGCCCTCAGGCCGTATTTATTCCATCTTTTCATGGGTGTTCCCCTTTTGCAATCTTTTCTCTGTAGGTTGATATTAGTGCTACTGGGTGGCAAGTGCGTTAGGAAGATCGTTATCTCTGGATGGAATTGCAGCCTGAGCAAACCAAGATATGTGGAGTCAGGGTTCTTAGAAAACAAGTCGGAGCCAGTATCATCTACAGCAAAGCAAAACTCAAAGAAAAAGGGCGGGGAGGGAAGATATTGAGTGAAAACAAATGTTTCAGCTGCCTGAAATAAAGGACTTGTTCTGTTCTTCCTTTACAGCTGTAAAGATGGGGTGTTTCGGAAATACCAGGGCGCAAGAACTAAAACTGACTTCATCAACTTCATCAGTGACCAGGAATGGAAATCCATTGAGCCAGTTTCGTCGTGGTTTGGTCCTTCCTCTTTCCTGTAAGTTTTGGTGTGATTTTTATAGTCGCTTGTTGTCAAACACGTGCACTTGGAGGACGTGGTGGGAGAGATGCAGCACGTACGTGCTCCACCTGGTGCTGCGTGGGGAAGGACGGGTCGGTACAGGCCCTGGGTTGTTAACAGCTCACGCAGCAGCTCAGGGCTGTGCACAGGATGTGTTCTGCGGCTGGGAAATGCTCTCAGTGGTTACTGCATGCGCTGCGTGGGGGGGAGAGGGGCGGCTCCAGAGCAGTCGAGTAACTGAGCAGTACGGCGTGGTGGGAATGCGATTGGTTGGGGCAAACGAACCCAATTGTTCGTGGTTTTTCTTCTCATTCAAGAAACATCAACTGTCACTTGCAGTGACTGACCTGTGCTGACTCTACTGGGGTTTAAGCAGGTTTGGGATGGTTGGTTCGCTTCATGAAGTGCTATGCTAGATTGAAATCTTACATTTTTGTATTCTAAGAAGCTCAGCTTCATTATGTTCTCTACTTACAATACTACTTGAATTTCCAAACCATGTAATTTTCTTACAATGTAGTACCCCCCCACCAAGGAACACATGAAATCGGGTACTAATTTTAGGATTAGTAGGTTTTCTCTTGGAAGGGTACAGCACAGCTCCTTTGAGCATGCTGAAAGAGCATGTGCAGGTCTTTATTCATGCCTGCCTGCTTCTGCAGCTCACCCATTAGCAATTTCTGTTGTCTTCATGCTTTGATTTCTCCTTTTTTATTTTTTATTTTTACAGGTAGCTAGTGCTTAATGCCAAGTTTCACAGTAGCAGGGAAATGTCAGAACCAGCAGAATATCCATAGCAGATAGCCTGTTTTTTTTTTTTACTTGTATTTAACACAAAGCTAAACTCAGCTGCCTGAAGTTCTCTCAGTTCTTACATAACCTGAGCTTTTTCAACAGGTTCTTTGTTTTAGTATAATGTCCAGATGATTCATTATTAGTATATATTAGGATCTTAAATAGAGTTCCAGCTGGCTTCTCAGATCCATATATAACTTAGAATATAAACACAAGTAATTAAAATTAACATGCCAGAGGGCCAAGTCAAGGCATTGGTGGTTGTCCAGATGTGGAATATCGTGCAGGGTGATGCTGGTTCTAAAGATAGCTTCATGGGAAATGGGTGCTTGCTGCAGGAGAAGACAAAACAGAAGATAAAAACCAAAGTAGTCAAACGGGGAAACCAGGCACGAGCAGAGAATTGTTCAATGTGCAGCTAAATAGTGACTAGTCAGGCAAACGAGAAGATAACAGACATTTGACTGACTTGGATGCTTTCAGTTAATTTTTTCTGCTTTCTTTCAGGATGAGCAGCATGTCAGCTCTGTTTCAGCTGTCGAATGTGGATCAGGGTATGTGCTCAGATCTCAACTTTGTTTCAATATTTAGGATATTCAGCTATCTGTGAAATGACTCTCCTGTTTTTTTTTTGTTCTAGCACTGCCATGGTTATTTAACAGAAAGCGTTGGAATACCAGTTTGGGGCTCATATGCCATTTTTGCCTTGGCAACGCTGTTCTCAGGACTGATACTGGGACTGGTAAGTGAACCCCTTGAAGCAGAGTGGCTCGTGTCTGCTGTGGTGTCTTTGCTTTAACCCTGTCTTTCTTTGGTTTCAGATGATGGTGTTCTTAGCAGACTGTCTGTGCCCTTCCAAAAAACACAGACCACCGCAGTACCCTTATTCAAGTAAGCCTACTAGTTTACTTCAAATTCAGTCTTGAGTAAATCTTACTGAATACAAATTGGTGCAGAACTTGGGGCTACAGAAAGGAGATTTAATGGAGAAGTTTTCACACGTGACTGATGCTGTGCTTTAACTGCAGCTTTTGCCCTTTAGGGTTTATAGTGAGAGATTATATTTGGGGCTAATGCTAAACTATTGCTGAAAAGCTGTGCTTTAGGTGATAGAAAAATGTTATTTTTGCTGCATTTTTATACCTACAAGTTCTAAAATTCCATATTTATATGGAATTTAATGAGAGCTTTATCCTGTGGAGCTCTCATTGCCCCTAAAACAGAAGCAAATTCTGCAACTAGGAAGCAAAGTGAGGATTAAAAGGGGACTCATGTTTCTGTGGATAGTGAGTGATTCAGTTTGGGGTTAGTCTCTAGAATCTATCAAGGTAACATTAAAATACATGGAAGAAGATCTGAATGCTAGCTTATGTTTTATAGAAACCGTACTCATTTTTCCCAAACAGGAAGATTTTTTGTTACCTTGCCTAGTAGGCTGTAGGCTTTAATACCTGACCTGTGGGTAATTTCATGTTAGCAACAGTTCTACCAAAGGTAGCAATTTAAGTAACAGATGCTGGGAAGTGCTACCTGGATTAAGTTCATCCATATTCTGTGCTAGTCTGTGATACTTCTTAAAAAAAAACAAAGCAAAAACACCATCACAAAACATCTCACTTGTTACTGGTATTACTTTCTGTATGCCTGTTTTCTTTTCCCTTTAAGAAAAGCTAGCTCCGGAGTCAGCTCACCTGTTGAAAAAGCTGGATGAGGAACAAGAAGCGGACGAAGAAGACATCTCAGATGATGAGGCAGGGGATAAGGAGGAGTCTACCAGAAACTCGTCACCAAATGCTGTACGACAGCGCCCAGTGAACCCTGCTGGGACAGCGGATAAATCTTAGCATTATTTGCATGCAGGATTAGTGCTCGTGAGTCACCAAATCAAAAGGAGTTAAATGTCAAATCCTTCAGCTCAAAGAGAAGAGTGACTCCTATCGTGGTAGTTCTGATGCATTTCACTAATTCAGAATTAAGTGTCTTCGGTAGCAGGTATTCAAAACTAAAACTTGCTGCTGCACATGGCTGGAACTTCTGTCTATGTGCAGAGGAGTACCAGGAAATGACGTGGCTTCTCAAATGACTTGTTCTGTAGGGATTTTTTTTTTTTAATAGAACGTAAACCACTCTATTAGGGAACATTACCAAGAAAAATGCACTAACCTGTTTGCTGTCAAAGCATTCAAAAAGGTTTCTCAGTATAACTCCTATCTAGTTGTGCTCTGAAGAAATGCTGAGGGGAGGAGTTCCTTCAGTTACGGGATATTTTCCGGGCTTTCTGTGCGACCAACTTGTGCTTTCTGCTACGACAATGAGTGCTACAAAAACCCCAGACTTCTCCAAAGAAATGAAGGTTCCTGCCTTCGTCTAGAGGAACAGAAAAGCAGAGCTTGTCAGTGCAGTCCTTACGGGTGGAGGTTACAAGCAGCAGCGTGTGTGACACAGGCAGGTTTCTGGTAAAACTTGCATCAGTTTTCTTTAGAAAAGGCTATAAAAAATGTATGAACCTCTTGTTGAAGTGTTCTGCTCCAGAGAAGTATTACAAGTAGCACTATGAAGCCTCAGTGGTAGGGACAGGCTTACACTGCAGGGTTCTCTGCTCAGTGTTCTCTTCCAATCCATGTGTCCCTCTGTAGGACTCTGCTCATTTTTAATACATCATTAATAACGGCTGCATAACCAAATCCTACTGCAAATCCAGTCAGGCTGTACCTGGTCTGAAGCTGAACTGGCTGCTTAATTTCTTTCTTCCAAAAATTCATCTTTTCATGTTTTCACAAAACCACATTGTAACAGTATCTCCTAGTTCTTTTAAAACAAAAGCAAAAAAAAAAGCCTGTGACCTACTGTTTCCTGACTGGTATTTGTTTTCACTCTGCACGGAAATGAATGCACATGAGCATTGGACTAGTGCTATCTTGCATCAGTTAAAGATTTTTCCATGTTCTTTCAGTTAATTTCCAAAGTATTTGCAAGGGAAGGGTTGGTCTTATGCTGAGCATGCGTGGGGTTTTGACAGGCTTGTTCTTGTTGGTGTGTTTTTGTTGTTGTTGTTCTAATTTTTAATTATTCGTCTGAGTGGGCTTACAGGACTGGCAGTTGATAAATCTGTGCCAGTAACAAACTTGGTTGTGATTAAGACCACAAACAGAAGTTCTCTTGAAAATGTTTTCACTGGCAGCAGGGCTGTTTAAAGCCAGGCTCTCTTTGTGATTAATAAGAAGACAGACCATGAAACGAAAAGCTAGTAATGAGTTTTGTGGGGTAGGAGAGAAACATTGGGGGCAAGAAGATTCAAAGCTCTTGCGGGTGAGTGAGTTTACTTAAAGCTGTTCAAAAAAAACCAAACAACTCTTCTGTTTTTTGTCAGTTCTAAACACTTTGTCAGTTGCATTTTAAGTACATCTGACAGGTTATAACTCGGCGTGCGTGTTGTGAATGGAAAGAAGTGATTCAGCTGTCCAAATAGCTGAGTGAATCTCCCAGCAAGTCCTTAGATGAGTAAGAATGAGCTCTTATATAAGAGCCTGGAACTTCCTCCTTTGAGTTTTTATTTTTCCCTCCTCTCTTTCTGAACATTGGTGCTCTGGAACGACTTTACTCAAGTGCTGGGTTAGGTGTTGACAAGATACAACTGCGATGCTTGAAAGGATCATTTTGGTTAAAATCCAAGTGTTCCTGCCATTAAGTATCAAACCCCTTCCTGGTGTTGGAACAAAGACGTGCGCGTGCCATAAATGCCATTAAGGTGTCGGTCTTGTAAGATTGCCTTAAATTCTCTGAACGCTTCGTGTTAGCCTTTGTAACTAGGAAAATTAAGCAATAAATTTGTGGTGTACTGAGGGGAAGTAGGAGCACTTTGATAAATGGTGTATTTAATTAGTTTGGAGAGGGCTCGAGAAGATGGGACACAAATGCTGCATGATCTTGGTAGAAAAAAAATGAATTGTTTTAAAAGTTGAACTCTGGGCAGTGATTATATTTAAATGTAGCTGTTAAAAATGCAGAATTTTTTTAGGGTTTTCTAATTTTTCAGTTACTTTATAACTGGTTGTGCAATACAGGAAGTATATACTGGTAACTTTTGTCTAATGTTTTAAGTTCAGAAGAACAAATACGACCTTTTTTCCTTAGCTCTCATCTTAGACTCCTGGTTTAACAAGAACTTCTAGCACTGATTTACCTTGCCTTTGCCTTCTGCACTCCTACCTTTTTGTACTGTCTCCCTGCCTTAGGCAACTGATTGAATTCCAAAACTGCCTCTTACTCAGAAGTGTTCTGAGTTGCTGGAATCCAGCCCCTGTTGCAGACCCGTGCTTGCGATCGGTGTAATTTATGCAAGTGCTGTTCTGATTATCCATAGGCAGCCTGCGTGTGCTGATCTCTGTAAATCTTGCTGTTCATATTTTTAATAATAACATAATTTTGTCCTGTGAATATTGTTTCTTTTTTTCCATCTGTATTCAAAAGATGTTTACTGAAGAAGAGCAAAGGTTGCCATGTAATAAATGTGCATAAGAGCCTGTCCTTTGTGTGCGTTGATGATGCTTGAATATCAGTTTTATACAAGTCAGACTGTGTCTGTATCCTCGCCTTGACCAAGCACATCCAGTGTAATTCAGGAAGGAATAAATTAATTGTAATGGTGTTTTTTTAATATTTCAGAGATTCGAGTAAAAAACCATGAGCTTTGGATTCCTGTGTTCAGTGTTTGTTTTTTTTCCTTGTTTTTAGGACAGTGTCTGTATAGCAGAGGAGCAAAACTGCAGCTGTTTCCATGGAAAAAATTGCTGTTACGCTCTAGCAAATGAGCCATTTGTGATAAATCTCCTTGAAAAGACAAGTCTGAGGAATTCTTTGGACTAAAGCTGCGCTGAGCTACTTGTGGTCTTTAGCTGAGCCTGGCTTGGGTTTCTCGTGGTAGCGTGAGTCATTTTGGTTAGATGATTTTTACGGTTTGGGAGGGAGCTTTCATGCATACCAGGCTTAGACACTGATGGTTGAGGAGGGGAAAAAAAAAAAAAACTTGTGTTGCAAAAAGAATGTAGGCTAGAGTTGGCAAATGCTGTTTAAAATTCAGCTCTTTGCAACTTCTTTGCCTGAAATCATGTTGTGTATGCATGCAAATCGCTTCAGCTACGGCCGGCTGCCTCCCCTCTTCCACCTACACACCACATCACATCCCAACAGCTGAAGTGGCCGGCGTCAGAGTGTTTCTGGTGTTTCTGGTAGTGGGGAGCTTAAACTGGAGCTGTCCGAAATGAAGGAGATATTTGGGGGCAAGACGAGGATTTGCTCCCTTGCTTTCATCTATCTCTTAGGGAAGAATGTGGTAGCTGTCTGTGCATGCTCTCTCTGTGTGGATTTTTCTGGAAAAATGCAGTAATATTCTGCAATCCTTCCCCAGCAGGAACAAGAAACATGCACTGCCTGGGGAATTAGCGGATACTCATAAAAGCCTGACTTCCCTACTCTTCCACTCAGTGGATGACGTGCAGCAGAGAACAATAACCAGCCCAAAGCAGCTAAAAGTCAAATATGCTTAGCTAATCCCAGCTATTTTAATTATCTTGGAGGGAAACAGAAAAGTAACTGTCTGCTTAGCTGGCAACTGGGGTTTGCCAGATTGCCATCAGCCATGGGTCTGCTTTTTGAAACTGGAAGAGTTTCAGTTTTAACAGTGACAGGGAAGGAGAACGTTCAGCTATGGCGTTGGTTCAGTGTTCTGCACCACTAAAATAAAATGTCAACTTTAAGACTTTGTAAAGTCTTAGAAGGTGGGGGAGGCTGTCTCCTGGAACTCTTTTGCATCAGCTGAAGTTCTTGGTTTGACCCAAAGAGCATCACCTTTGGCTCTTTCTTCCCTGAATTTTATTTCTGGCTAATGCCCTACACTCTGCTGTTGGGTCAGATTTTTTTTATTATTATTGTTTTTTGTTTTTTTACCTTGCTGACCTTGCTAAGAAGTTCTAACTTCAGTAACTTTCTAGGAGAAGAGATTCTGCCTCAATCTGCCCTTTTCCTTCAGGTTTCTAGGTTTAGCTCTTTAATACTTCAAGTTTAATTTCTGTTTAGCATTGCTTACAGCCTTTTTCTTAACTGATACAGAAAGCCAAACCTTAGGTATACGGCTGATCTTCAATAGTCATTCCTGTGAAAGGAATAAATGTATTTCCTTTATCTGATGGAGTAGAATATATGCATTATCCTGGTGTAAAACTTGCTGTATTTCACCTTAACTTCCTGTGTGCAAAATCCACCCTTCCAAAAAGCTTCTAGAGCCCTGTTCCCAGCTCCTGCTATACCCAGTGAACTGCGATTCTCCTCCTGCTGCTGCCCTGCTGGTAAGTGCCTCCTTTGTGCTGTGGCCAGAGAGAAAGTGCCAACAACCGAAGGAATGCTTGGTGTTGGGGTCCTGCGTGGGCCAAATGCGAGGCAGATCAAACACCCAGCCTTTCCTACACTGGGGGCTGATGTTTTTCTCTAGGAGACCCCATTTCATCGCATGGCCATGGCACGTGGACCTTGAAGCATCGTGTGCAGGAGCTGGGCTCTGGTAGCTGCTGGATGCTTGTCTAAAACCGGTGCCCTTAAAATGACAGAATTTTGTAAGATAGCTGTGAAACTCTGCAGGAAAAAAAAGTCACCAGTTAAATCTTCTGCATCTTGCTTCGGAAGGTTCATTTATAAGCTAAATGGTGACTTCTAAACCGAGAAGCTCTAAAAATGCGAGATGAGAAACCATTAATGCAAGATCATCAGTAAAGATAAAAAATTTGTTGCCTGTGCTTCTCCTTCCAGCGTGTTTCAGCTATGCTTTGCTGAGCCCGAACTGCAACCCCATTTTTTTCCCCTGTCTGACTGGTAATTCCTCAGGAAGGATGTCTCCGTGTCCTTGGCACTCGGGAGAGCTGCTCCCTCTGCATGCTTGCTGTATCGAGACTCAACTGAAGGGGAAAGGAGCATTCAAAGTGTAGATTTCTTCTTGGCCTCTGCACATGGCATCCTCCACCTCTGTAATTTCAGCCACAGGTGAGTTTTTGCGGCACAGCAGTGACACTGGGGGCTGTTTGCCCATTATTATCATCAGTTTGCTCTGTTTCGATGCAGCTCGGAGCTGCAGCTCGCACCGGTGCTGTAAATCCCTTCCAGCTGGCTCCTCGGACTATCCAAGTTCTCTCTTTTCCTTGCCACTGCCCGCTGAGCCCAGCTGATTTCCTCTTGTAGGCCACCTCAGCCCCTAAGTCTCCCAGGAAAAATTCACATTTCCCTTATTTCTTGCCATTTTCCAACTGCAGAGCTGATTTCGTAGGTGACTGGAGGTGAGTAAACGTGTTCTCCTCCTCCTCTCCCCATCCCCTCATGAAATATTTGGGAAGGCCATGCAGCATGGCCTTACACCGAGCTCTTTTTTAATTATTATCATTCAAGAAGGGCTTTTTTTAACAAAACTTGAGACGGAGCACTTGGCATTGAGCAGGCTTTGGTGTGGGCTCTGTGTGCGCCTGGCTGGTCAGAAATAGAAATTACATTTTTATGTCCCCTGTGTCTGTGGCCAAATTTCCCAAAGGCTTTGAGTCGCCGAAGGATCCGCTGTGAGCGGTGGTGCTACAAAACGGGGCTAATTGATGAAATCCGTTTTGATGGGTGTTTTCGGAGCCCTGGAAGCAGCTGATGGATCCCTTCTTGGAGACCTCCAAGAAGGGGCCGGGTCGGAGGCACCATAAAGAGGCCTTTTTTTAGAAAACACTGACTAACTCCAGTCCCTCGGCTGGATTTATGCGAGGCACGTGGTGTCCAGATATGCCTCATTTCTCTTCTGCTCGCTCAGGAAATGGTGAACCTGGCCGATGCCTGCAGCAGCGGTCTCAGCTCCTGCTGGAGGGGACTTTTGGGGAGAGATTTGGCCACGTGCATGTAGTGCTGGGCGTGTGGAGCTCAAGGGCATCACTTTTTGGGGTTTGTCTGCTGCAATTAGGGACTCGGCCAAGCTCCAAAGCCCCAAAGAGAGATCTGCTCCAATTTGGGTACATATGCAGACAAATGTTTTGCTCTGCTGGGAGCTGAGCAAAGAGTTAACTCCTCTCTCTCCTTCCTTATTCACAGCAGCTGGCTTTCCTTCAAGATTTTGGGGTCATCCAGGAGAAAACAAGTGCCAGAAAGGCTGGGGATGTCCCCAGCAGGGGCAGTGGCCTCACTGGGGGGCTCAGTTCCTTTATTTTCAGGACCAGCCCCACTGCTGCAGCCCTGTCCGAGTCAGCCGGGGCGAGCGGTGCTGCAGGGGCAGCTCGTGCACGACCTCCTGTATCATCAAAACCTGTGCCCGTTTGGATTTTTTCCAGCCTCCCCGTGCTCCTTTCTCCTGTTTTCGCTGCTCGTTGCGCTTGGCCAAGAAGAGCAAGCCGGGGCTGGCAGCGAGGGAGCTCGCGAAGGCAGCAGACGGCTGGTGGCAGCAAAGCCGTGCGGGCGCAGGCGATGCTCGGCAGGGAGAGCAAAAAAACACAAAAGTTTTGTCTTTAGGGCAGCAAACGTCAGGGTTTTTTCCCCTCTGTTGCTGCAACGCCTGAAGGCGGAGCAGCCCCAGGTCCAGAGGTGGGTGCGGGTGCTGCCAGGAGTGCCAAAACCACCTGCCCCTAAAGAAGAATTTGGGAACGTAGCCTTGCTGCTTAAATCCTTAATTTCCAGGTTTTGGGAGAAGATCTGCTCCGTGTTGTGTTTTGCTTGGATTAAATACACTGCTGGTCCCTTGGCTTCGATACCCAGGTGCAGGTAGGGCAGTATAATAAATTAATTCAGCATTTGGGGCACGAGGCAGCGGATGGGGTAGCTCAGGACCTCTCCAAAGGGGCTGCCTCCCAAACCCTGCCCCATCCCGGAGCAGGATTTGGCCAGAATCTCCCCGCTTTGGAGATTTCCCCATCGTGGTGTCGTTAACCCCGCGCTGGCCGGCCACACGAGCCCTGCCTCCGCTGCAGGTTGTTTTGGCAGCTGCACCTCTGAGTCACCTCCCCATCCCCTCCTTCCCTCTGCCACCTCTCCTCGGGCCCGACACGCATTTCCCTCGGCCGGGCCCAGCCTGTGCCTGTTTTTTTTTTTTTTTTCTGGCTGGGTTTGCAGAAGTCGTTTATTTACAAACCTCTCCAGAATTGGCCTCTTTTCGGCTAAAAAGCGGCGCGGGTGTTGCTTGAAGGAAAGCTGATTTCTGACAGACTCAGCACGAGGAGGGAGAACAGATGGAGACTCGGATGAATGAGATGGCGCTGAGTGTTGTCCTCCTGCAAATCAGCTTGGTTTTCCCTATTAGCATAAGAAGCAGGAAAAAAAAAAGGATTTAATTTCTCTAAACATTTCCCCTTAACGATCTACCTCTCCAGCTTGGAGATTGATATGGCTGTTATCAGCAAAGCAGCTGAACGCCTTCCACGGAGAATCAGCAGCGAATTCGAGCTGATTTCGGGCACTTCTCCCTCCCCGGGATGAGCGCAGTGCTTGGGAGAGATGCTAGCCGTCTTTAAATTCCATCTACTTATTTTTTATATGTTTTTAGGAGTTTAACCGAGGGATTTTTAATTTTATTTATTTTTTTAAGGGCCGGGAGGAGGCACCAGCACGTTGTGGAAGCTCTGGGGGCTGCGTGCCCACCCGTGGCGGCGCTGCCAGCTCCCCTCTCCGGCACCCGGGTACCTGCAGGAGCTCCTTGCTCTCCCCTTTCATCTCCTCGCCACAGACATTGCCAGACCACAGAGAGCCCCAGGGCGGAGGAGAAGAGCCAGCAGGGCACAGGGAGAGAGCAGAAACTTTCCCCAGCACTGCTTGTGCAACAAGGAATTGCCCCTGGGACAGTCGTGCCTCTTGCCCCCTGCCTCGCTCGAGCCCTCCTGCAGGCAGCCTGCTCCCCCTGGGATGGATTTGAGAAAAAAAGCATCAAACCATGGAGGTAAAGAGAGAAACAGGGGCACAGCTCCTTGGGAAACACGTGCCTGTAACACATGCTGGCTGGAGAAGCTCTGAGGTTGCTCCTTTGGCAGGGAAGCAGCCTGAGGACAGAGGGGACCGATGTCCGGGACACCCAAGGGGGCTCAGCCGTGGCCGTGGAGCTGCCCGGGGACAGCTGGAAAGAGGCAGCTCAGCTTTCATCTCCATCCCGTGCCCGGTTTAGTCACAAAGGACACTGGTGACCTTTCTGGGCCATAAATCCCTCCAGGGGTTGGGGTTGGAGGCTGCAGATTTGGGCGCTGAGGTTGGGTGACGCGCTCCAACGAGCATCCCCGCGGCAGAAAAGGTGCTCGGGCACCGTGCGCATGGGATGGAGCCGCCAAGTGGGCTCTGCCGGAGAAATTTGGCTGCTCTCATCCCGAGCTTTGTGCTGTTATTCTGGGAGAGAGGAACGGGAACGGCACCAGGCTCGTCCTGACAATGGGGGAGTGATGGAGGAGGCTTCACCGAGGCTCCAGCACGGGATCTGTATTCAGAGCAGCTCCTCCAGCCTCTCCTCCTTGCTGCTCTGTCTCTTTTAATCATTTAATTGCACTGGATTTTCTGGAAGGAGGAAGAGTCCCCGTATTCAGGCTCTCAGGTTGAAATAGGGTTGAAGATTTAATCTTCTCCCCTTTATTTATTTATTTGAACACCAAGGGCCTGCGGCTCCCAGCAGGAGAAGCTGCTAAAAGGAGAAGGCCCCGGGATCTCCAGGCAGCATCTCGGGGGATTAATTCGGCTGTGAGTGAGACAGTTTCACTCTCAGATCTCGCTCTTCCTTTAGGATACTTGGTCCAAACTCTTAGCCACGAGCTGCAGGTCAGCCAGGGGAAGGGCATTAAAATTTGGGAGCTGGGCCAGCATCCCCCCACCTGCGTTCACAAACCACAGCGACCTGGGGCAGCTCCGAGGGTGGCCGAGGCGCACCGAGACGGGACGGTGACGGCACCATTGTCACCACCCTCTCAAAAAGGAGGCCTCCCCATCACCTGCAGCCCCATAAACGTCCCAGAGCAAGGGATATCAGAGCTGGGGCTTGATTTCCCCCAAATTCGACCCCTGTTGGTGCGCTCTGTGCAGGAGCGAGTGCCGTGGAATCGTTGGCTCTGCCTTTGGCCAGCACAGTGCCTTTGTGTGTGGGCACGGGATCAAAACCCATTTATCAAGGCAAGATTACGCCTGCTTGGCTCTGAAATACAGAAAATCCCTCCTGGCCTGCGAGCCCGGCCGTGCTGGCAGCCTTCGGCCCCCCGCTGCTCCCGGCAAGCTGGGAGGATTTTACCCGGTGGGTGGTGTCAGCCAGGGCATCGACCTGCCCTGATTTCTTGGGCTTTTTTTCTAAACATTTGGCACAAACGCAGCTCCTGCTGAAGCTCTCGTGTGTCTTTTGTGTATTTGGACCAGATGAGCATCGTCGGGGCAGCTCCTGTGGCTGGTGAAGGCTGGCTGGGGACCAGGCTGCCCAAAATGCTTCCCAGCCCCTCCGGGAGCGTGTCCCTGCCTGGAGAGCCATCAAAAGCAGACCTTGCTGGTAGGAAATGTGACTTTGCTGCTGTGACAAGCTCATGTGGGCATTTTCCTCCAGGTGATGCCATGGGGAGGAAATGTCTGAGCCCGTCAGAGCTGGGGTCGGTGTCACGGGAGACAACGGGCGCTGATTTAGGATGGAGACAGCTGTGTCCATCCCAAACCAGCACATCCCAGCCTCATTCCCGAATTTTCGCCTTCCTTGGAGCTCTGTCACCAACAGAGCAGGCTTTTCGTTAAGGCTAACCGTGCCCTGAGTCAGGGAGCAGCCTCTCAGGCAACGAGGGATGCAGCAAGCAGCGGTGGGACCCCAAATTCCCATCCTGGCCCTCGCTGAGGTCCGTGGAGCCAGGACCCCTGGGCTGCAGGAGCTGCGTTCACTCTGTCGCCTCCTCCGAAGCTCCCCAGGACTCCAAACCTGGATGCAATTTAAGGCAGCCTTGGACCAGGTTTTGCTGCCGGCCCCAAGGATTTAAGGGATTGTTTGTGTAAAATGGGGTGCCGAGGGTGTGCAGGGGGGGAGGCGTTGCCTCGCAGCGTCAGCCCTGCTGCAGCCAGCCCACCCGCTGCAGCTTTTACCCACAAATTATCGGGATTTCGGGCCATTTTCAGAGTCTGAGCTAAATATCTGGAGGGGACGGCTCCCAGCCCTGGGGAACTGCCTTGGAAAGGGCGGATAAATGGGGAGGGAGAGGACGGGGGCACGCGTCCCACGCAGCGGGGAACAAAGCGCTCCTCTGTTCCCCCCAGGACAGCTGTGCCGTGGTGGCAGCTCCCGGCTCAGCCCAGGGTGGGCACGAGGGGACACCCTGCTGCTGGGGCTCTGCTGGGGCATCTGCCACCACCTCCTGCTCCCCTCTCCCATCCTCTGCCCCTTGCTCTCTGTTCTCCTGCCCAATTTGGGCTAAAAGAGAGCCCAAAGTTCCCCTGCGACCACCCTCTGAAACCCTCGGAGCGCTTCCCTCTGCGCAGCACCCGGTGCACAGTCCCTGCTCGAAAAAAAAGAGGTGGAAAAAGAGGTGGCACCGCCACGCCGGGTGGCGAGGAGGAGGCTGGAGGTGGCAGCATCTGGGGGCGATGGCCCAGTGCGCCGCGACGTCAGCCCAAAAGTAATGCAGCTGGTGCGGCCCTGCCCTGAGCCCTGGCCTCTGCTCCTCCCCTCTGGCAAAATCAGAGAAAAATCCTCTTCTTCCAGAAGAGGAAAAAATAAAAGACAAAAAAAAAGAAAAAAAAAGGCAAAGCAAACACCTCGGCCTTTGTTTGGGGAGACAACGGCCGCAGCCCGCTCAGATGGAATTTATTTTGCGCTCGGTAATTCAATCCATTCGGGCTCAGGATGTGGCCGGGAGGGTTGAGCCAAAAAATGCGAGTTTAAAGCAACTAAATTTTATGCTGTGTACACAGCTAAGTTTGGGTTTGGCCGAGACGAGCAGTTTCCATGGTTTTTGGGATTCCTGTTGTAGCAACGAGCTCCTCGTGCAGCCGAGGGGCCGGAGGCGCGCGGCCCTCTGGCCGGAGAGGGGCGCAGGGGGAGCCCGGCGGGGGGCACGGCTCGTTGTAGGGTCATCCAGGGGTTTATAGGGCTGGTGCAGCGTGGTGGCACGTGCTGTCCTTTTTGAGGCATCCTTTTTGGTCCTGCAAGAGGCCGGTGCGTGCCTGGACACCCAACATCCACCCCCTGAACCCAGCCCCACCGGGTGCCCGTGCCACCAGGGGGTCACCCACGAGGTGTGGGGACGCCTCCGTGGGAGGAGGGCTTGGAGCCAGCCCACAAAGTGTTAACACCTTAATTAAAAGAAGGAGGAGGAGCCGGTCCCATTAAGCTCGCCATCTGTTTTAATTACCCACTGAAGCTCGGGGAGAGCTTTGTGCCATAATTGCGTAATTAAAACAAACCGTCGGGATGGCACGGAGGTGAGTGGGGAGAGGGAAGCAGCCCTTGCTCCTCTCTCTGGGAGCAGTGAGGATGCTCGTTTTGGGGCCGAGCTGAGCATCTCGCAGCCCCGCTGCCTTCTGATGGCTCCCCGAGGCCGTGCCTGCAGTGGGGCTTTTTGGGCATCGCCAGCAAACTCTGCAAATCCTGCGTTTCCAGCCCAAAATCACCACCCGGGTGCGCCTCTCCCCGTTGTAGCTGTGTGGGTGCAGCCCCTCTGGGTTTAGGCAGCAGCACCGGGGGTGTGGGCACCCCAAATCCAGGCTGTGGGGTCAGTCATGGGGAGCTCCTCTAGAGCCTGGCCGGGTGCTATTGGGGATGGAGCAGGCACATTTGCACGGCACAGGTTAAAAATCAGAGCGTTAGCCCTTAAAAAAGCCTCTGAAACTTCCTGGGAATCGGAGTGGAACTTCTCTGCGAGTTTTTTTTTCATGCCTGTGGTAGGGGAACGATGTTCTCATGTCTTCTTACACCCTTTTTCCCCCCGCACCGCTGCCCGCTCACATCTCCCGCAGGCGTAATCGCCGGATTAGCACATTTTGCCATGATCCGTGCTGAGGAAACACAGGTGAGGTCACCACGAGTCCAGAAAAATAGGAAAAAACCCTTCTTGCCCGAAGCTCTCGAGGGGGAAGTTCTCCAGCAAGGAGGAGGTCCCAAAACCCAGTGGTTTTGGGGCAAAATCTGACTCCTGCCGCCTGCCCACGCGGGTCGGGCTGTTGGCGAGCTCACGCTGGGTCGTAATTAGGGAATAACTGAGGCTGCCCAAAACCTCCTGGCACGGTAAAAGGAGCACAGCTGCTGTGCCCAGAGCCAGGGGAGCCCCAGGTTGGGGCGATGGGCTCTTCTCTCCCCTGCAGCCTTCCCCCAAATAAAAGCCTCCCAGCGCTGCTGTCCCTCAGCAAGTAACGCCGGAGGGAACATGGGGCGATCCTGCAGCCGCCCCCAAATCCACCAATTTTCCCCTTCCTGGGCTTCTTTGCCCCATGAGACCCTCAGAAACCTTCCAGCCTGGGTGCAGGAGGCAAATCTGTGTTTGGGGCAGGCCCGACGCTATGGAAAACTGGGCGCTGGTTTCATCGTTCCTACCTCCTCCTCGTCAGCATGCATTTATATAACATAAAATAATGCAATAATTAATTCAGCTAAGAGTCGGAGTGGCGTAACTGACCCGGCTGGAAAAAATAAATAAGAAAGAAAAAAAAAAAAGACAACTTTTTTCCTTTGAACACGCCAAAATAGGGCTTTGTAGCTCGCCCAGAACTGAGCACCACCAAGCACCCAGCCCAGCCGCCCCGCGTGGACACAGGACGCTTTGTGCAGGACAGGTGAACACGCCCCAGAATTCACAAAAATGAGTATAATTCACATTTATTTTGCACTTATTTCTCTTACAACGGCCTCCACAGCGAAGCAGAGGAGGCAATAAGGCAGAAACGGGAATAAAAATAGAAAGGTGCTCTGAGGGCTGGGGAGGCGCTCGGGATTTCAGCAGCTCTTGGAGAGTTTATTAACGGGGAGAAGTTATAGATGTTGTATATAGAGAGAGGTGTTTTGTAGATGGTTTTCTATTAGTGTGGATGAGCAAAAGGATCTCAGAGGTCATGAAATGCCAAGGCAGATACGGATGTTTTTGGTGGAAGGGAAACTGGTAGGGTGCTGGCACGGCCCCTTCCTAACCGAGCGTGTTTTAGTGCGCTTCTCAAAAAAGAAAAAAATATATACTTGAGGGACTATTATTTCATGTCTTTTTAATAAAAACACCGAGAAATGCCTTGCCCAGACCCACCCAGAGCTGCTCCTGGGACCAGCGCAGGGCTGGTGCTGTTGGCATCGGGTTTGCTCCCCCTTTTGTGCCGCGATTCCTCGTGAGCGCAAAGTGCTGTTTGCTCGGCAGCAGCGAGCTCTGGGCACAAAACCCCCCAAATGAGATATTTTGGCACCAAACCCTGCCCATCCTCACAGTCCCACTGTGCTCAGCACGCTACGGCCACAGGGATGGTTTTCCTGGGCTGGAATTGGGACAATTCAGGTCCTCTTCTCCATGAGCCCTGGGCAGGACAACGCCGTGCCCCAGGGGAACCCCACGGCCAGCGCAGCCCCTTCCCAAATCCAGGGGAGAGGTTCCCCAAACCCCTCCGTCTCCATCCCACGGCACGGCCCACATCTTGCAGCGCTTGCCACGTTGCACATCTCCATGGCAGAACAAGTGCCAAGGTCTCGCAGGGAAAGGAAAGGAAACCTTGAACCCAGACAGCAAAAAAAAAATAATAAAACCACCTCGGAATGATCTCCGCGATCGCCTTTCCATCATCCTCTCCTACCAGCTGCAGCCCGAAGGAGCAAAGGATGCAGCAAACCGTTTAAAAAGCCATCTTTCAAGTGAACCACCCTTCCCCGACGCTGCGGAACAGCCTGTGCCGGGCTGAGCTGGAGGCCTGGAAGGGAAGCGCGGGGCTGGTGCTGTTCGGCCTGATCCCGGCCGGCTGAGTCACGCTCTGAGTTCATACCTGGCACCGGCCCCGCCGCGGGGAGCAGCTCCTCTGGGGAGAGCCGGAGCTGTCTGTGAGCCCGGGGATGGGCAAGGATGTGCAGGATGGGGAGGGGAGAGGTGGAGGAAGGGGTGAGGGGTTGGGGGAGAGCCGTGCTCGGGGCTGGCACCGTTGTTTTTTGCACTGTTGCAGCGCCTCGGCTGTGCCAACCTCGGTGCCAAATTGGGTAGCGCCTGGATGGGGTGAGGAGACAAAAAGCTGGGGGTGAAAAAGGGATGTGTGGGGTCTGGGAGGGAGGTCAGGGCCATCAGGGATTACCAAGGGGTGGGAATCAGCCAGGATGGGAAAAGGAGACCGAATGCTTCGTGTCCTGTGCAGCCAGGAGGGTGATGCTCCAAAAAACACCGCAGGGATGCTGCGTGCCAGGGTCCCCCCGTCCCCTGCTCGCCCCTTCCAACCCCGTGCCACAAAAAACGGGTGGGGGAGGACGCAGGGAGTGTGCCCACCCAGCCCAGGGTGGAACAGGTCAGCGCTGGCGTGGGTGGCCAGCCTGTCCCCGGCACGGGGAACGCCTCCTGCCCCGCTGGCTGACTCCCAGGGCTGCATTAGGAAGGCAAAACCGGGTTAATTAGGGCCGCCGTCGAGTTGCCCATCGAGCACGGTGCCGCTGGAACTCCAGGGAGGGTTGATCAGCTCTCGCCGTGGAGCACGGCAGGGTCCATTAGCCAAATGTGACCCAATAAGCAAATAAATCTCTGCAAATCAGCTGCAGCTCCGACAAGTTCCTGCCTTTCCCCATTGCCCTGCAACCGCTCAGGGCAGTGGGGTTGGGTAATTCCTCCTGCCTCCGATGCGAACCCGCCTGGCTGTGCGAGGAGCAAAGCTGCAGAAAGCCGTGGGAGGGAGGGGAAGAGCTCCGTGCCACGGATCTGCTGCTCCAGGGTCAGGGCTGGCTCCTCAGCCCCCGAAATCCCAGGGGATGGGCACAGCAAGTCGGTGCGAGCCCCGGCTGTGCGTGGGGGGGGGACATCAATCACCCCCTAAAGTCACCTTGTGCCGGAGTCATGTCTGCACTGTCCCCCTGAGTCAGCCTGCGACGACTTCTAGAGCGGGCTGGAGACGGGGTGAATCATCCAGGGCATTTTGCATTGGCTTGGTCCATGCAAATTCCCAGCCTCAAAGCCTGGCTCAGCTCCAAGCGAGGTTTCCACCTTCGGAAGGGGAGCCCTGCTCTTTTATCGCCCTGGCCCAGTTTCTGTTCGCAGCAGGGCTTGGATTTGATGGCAGGTAGAAAAAAAGGGGCCAACGAGCTGAGAAGTCTCCAAGAGCTGGAGAAATAAAATTAAAAAAAAAAAAAAAATAAAAAATAAAAAATAAAAAATAAAATAAAAGGGAAATTGATTCCAAGGTGGGCAGTGCATGGTGGGCAGGGAAGGTGCCCGCACAGCCATCGGGGCTGTGCAGGGACAGCAGGACGGCGTCAATAGCTCCCCAAAAACCTGATGCGCCTGGTAAATCACTAAAAGGGTCCCTGGTGGGTCTGCAAGGGGAGGCTGGGGGTGGTGCTGGGCACCTCCTTAACGCTCAGCCAGTCTCTGGGTGCAGGGAAATGCCACCCCTCCAAAAAACTTCTCTGGGTTCATGCATCTGAGCGGTTGGCTGGATGGAGGAGCAATCCCCATTCCCAAACGTCATTTTCTTTACATTCCTGCTATTTTTAAGCTCCCGACAAAAGTCCCCCAGCTGGTTCGGGTGTGCTCTGTGCCTGCACACCCTTTACCAGCAGAGTTTTTGCAGCGATGCCCGGATTACGGATGGAGAGGTCGATCTCTCCACGGTGCCCTCTGCTTCTCCGGGGCTTCTCCAAGCGCAGCAGCTTGCTGGGATCTCCTCGCCCATTTTTAATCCTTTAATGTGGGCTTTAGCGATGCTCTGCGGAGCTTAGTTTTCCGTGGCGAGCTGAGAAGTCAGCTCCTACTTTTATTAAGGCCACGTTAGGCACGGCCCTTCTGCTGCGGGCAGGTGGGACCAGCAGCTCACCCCTCTCTCCCTGCCCACCGGGGCTTTTGTGCCTCCTTCTCGGGGTGATTTTCTTCCTTTTTGTGCTCACCAGCTGGCTCTGTGAGATGATCCACCCTTACCAAAACCCTGCCGAAAGAGGAAAACGTCCTCCAGCATCTCCCAGCTGCGTGCTCTGGGTCCTGCCCGGGCACCGTGTTTCCTGGTTTATTTTTTTTTTGCCTGGCTGAGGATGAGACTCGGGTGCGCTTCCTGGCGAGGAGCGCCACGAAGCAGGTTCCCCTGGGTCATTAAAGGGCTGCTTTCCCCTGCTTTCCCTGCAGCCAAAATTGCAGCCTGCCGTCCTGCATGCGCCTCGCTGGCAGGCTGCAGCTTTGCAAAGATTTCCAGGGTGCCAGGGGTTGCTACCCAGGCTGAATTTTGGGGCAAAATGGCAGTAAAAATGGGTTATAAGGAGCTCCTGACACATCACTGAGGTGTGCAAGAGGGGCGAGAAGCTGGGCGCAGAGGAGGGCTCGGCTCTCCAGCTTTCAGCGCAGGGTCAGCACAACGAGGAACCCCTGATGTGGCCACGAAAACCTTCTAGGATGGTGGCAGAGGATGGAGCAGTGACAAGAGATCCGTCGGTGCTGGGAGAAACCCTCACCCTCCTGCCCCGGGGAGGCTTAATTACAGCCGCGCGCGGAGCCTTTGATGTGGGAGCCTCGTGCAGGTATCTCCAGGAGGAGATGGCTCCCCGCCGGCCCGCCGTCTAGACTCCCTTTGCAGCGGGGCCCGGCTCGCAGGGTGTGATTCAGCTCGTCTCGTACCCAAATCCCACCCCAGGTGACTTTTAATGAAGCAGCCGGCGACGAAGTGGCAGCCCCGGATGGGAGCCGCGGGCTGAGGGATGCGCCCTGGGCATGGGGCGAGCCGTGCCTGGGTCCCGCACGGTTTGGGGGGGGGAAAGTGAGGCTTAATTGCAGCATGGGTGTCCCCGGCACAGCTGCTGGCAGGCTGTCGGGGTGATTAAAGCCCGTGGAGGGGCTGGAGCTGCCTTTTTCCAGGGCAGGAGGCAGTGAGGAGGCAGTGAGGGCACAGAGCAGAGTCCCTCTGCAGCTGGCTCCTGCGCCCCGTGGCACCTTTCCCATTTCGTTTGGCGCTTTTCCCGCTTTTGATCTTGAGATAAATAATTAAAAAAAGAGACGAGCAGATGGCACAGATCCCTCCCAGCCCTTCACCGCGCTCTGCAGCTGGACGGCAGCCGTGTCCCTGCGGTCATTGCACCCGGGACCTTTGGGACAGTGGGGGGATGACCGAGCTGAGCACCGACTGGGAGCCGAGACCCAAGCAGAGCAAAAAATCTCTGGCTTTCCACAGCAGCCAGCCTTTTCCTGGGGAAATGTCTGTGTTCCTCTGCCCCGGAAGGCTTGCTTTAACCGAAATCCTGATTTCTGCCTCCCACCGCTCACCACTCCCCTGACGAGGAGCCACGTGAAATTTCTCTTGCCATCTTTCATTAAAATAATCCCATTAAGCAACTCTCAGGAATCTCTGGTCCGGGCCAGCCTGGTCAGCCGGCGTTCCCGTGTTTCCAAAGCATCTTCTCGCCCTGCTTGCCCTCACTTCAAAGCTCCGGGGAGCAGCCCCGTCCTTGGAGCGCTTCGGCAAAGTATGTCAAGAGATTCGGGAAGCCGGTTTTAATGCCGAGGAAATTAGTAACCAAATGAGCCCTTAGCCAAACGGCTCCTCTTCTTGATCTTGGGAAAAGTGGTGTTTAAATTCTCTATCTCATGGTTTTAGACTCAGGAAATGTGATTGCACATCTGTCATTATTTTACTCTCCTGTGTTGATTGCTCATATTAAACAAACCACATTCCTGCATCGCTGAGTAATCTCTGCTGTTCCCTTTCCTCTCCGAGAAGACAAGTCCCGGCTTGACATCAATGTACCTGTTGTGATCAGAGCTCTCCACTGTTAACCAACCGGCAGATCTGTTCAGACACCGGCCGCGGGGAGCGTTCGCACCACCACCGGCCCCTTTCCTCCGGATTGCCGCAACGCCGCGGCGCCTCTTCTCCCTAACCCCTCGCTCGGCCGAAGCGCAGGAGGAGCCGCCGAGGTGCACACCCCGCGGGGACCCATGTGCTTCCCAGAAAGGCTCTCCAGCCTTCCCCCGGCCTCCAGCGAGCAGGTAAGAACACGCGTTTCGGATTTGGACACCAGTCAAGGCAGGGTAGGTCCCTCGGAGCAGAGCGCGCTCCCCAGGAGCCTCACCAGCCCCGCAGGACGCGGTGCGCCCCGGCACGCACCATGGGCTCCCATCGGCCGAGCCCTCTCTGAGCCATCTCACTTCTGAGGGACGCTGAGCTCTCCCCGCCGTGGTTTTTGTCTTCCAGCTCTGCTGAGATCGCCCCCAGCTCGCCATGGAGCTGCTGGAGGATCCCGACTCGTAGGTGTTCCCAGCTCCAGGTAGGGAAGCTGCTGTGGGTTTGCGATGGCGAGGGAGGGATGGTGGGGAGGGTGGGGAGCTGCTCCTAGGGGGGCGTCTTGGCTGGCACCCGTGGGGACGTGGCTTTCACCACGACGTGCCTGTCCTGTGGCTGGAAATGCTTTCTGGTGGAAGATTTTGGGGCAATCTCGTTATCGAGCTTTGTCTTCCCCTGGCGAGGACACGGGGCACATGTTCCTTCCCCGTGTCCCATCGGGGTGTTTTTTGGGTGTTGGGGCCGTGCAGGGCTCTGGGGTGCTGGTGGGGACGGCTCTGTCTCCAGATCCCCCAGCCCCCAGGCTCTTTTTTTTGAGGTTGTTTGGCTTGGATCACTCCATTTGGATTCGGTTTATTCGGTTTTGTTTGCCTTGTCTGTGGCGGTGCTTTCCATAGGATCACCAGGGTGGGTCGCTTGGGGCTGAGAAAGGAAAAAAGGGCAAAAAAAATCATGTCCTGTGGGTCAGCGATGGAAAAACAGGAGGAAAGGCGGGCGGGGAGGAAGGGGGTGGTACTCGGGAAGGGAAAGCCTGCGAGCACCGTCCATCTTGTGCTCTGGCAGCTCCGCTCCCTCCCCAACACCCACGTCCCCGTGGGATGGGGGCTCTCGGTGCCCCTTTGGGTGGCTTTAGGGGCTGGGGGGCAGTCCTAAGCCCTCTTGTCCTGTCCTTGAGCTGTTCTTGGCGAGACACCTTGGAAACAAAGCTGCTTTTTAAAAAATAACTCTTCTTTTTGCACCGCCATGCGAGGCCCTGAAGTGTTTTCCTCCATCAGCCCCTATGGGATGAGAAGGAGAGGCCCTGGGAAGGGCTTGTGCCGGCCCCAAATGATTTGGGGGCAGGAGGCATGGGTGCTGGGTGTCACCCCGGGCACCCCAGGGTGCTCCTTATGGTGACAGCAGGGCCGTGCCGGGTCCCCTTTTGGCCGCCACCAAATGGGAGTTGACCCAGGGCCTCCCCGTTCTGGCACACGGTGGTTTTTGTGTATAGGGCAGATTTTGTGGCTATGATTGAGGTGCTTTGGGCTGGTGTCACCTCCGGGTTGCCCAAACCATCCCGACACACAGGGCTGACCCTCGGCCTTCCTTCTGGCCATGGATATCAGGCCCCGGCCTTGCTCTGCCTTCAGCCAGAGCCCCGCTGTGTGGGACCGGGGCGGGATGAGGCCTGCCCCGAGCTCTTTTTGGGGTTTAGCAAGCAAATTCATGGGCTAAGAGGAGCTTTCGTCCACGCTGGTTTCAACTCGGGCCCCCCCCGAGCCCTGGGAGCGGGCAGGAACGTGGCGCTGGGTGCGTCCAGCTGGGCGATGCGGTTTGGGAGCATTTTGTGGCTCGCCCGCAGCCAAACCCATGCAAATCCCCGCGTGGGGTTTGAGGAGGCCTCACAGGGCCGTGGGGGTGAGGACGAGGCCTCATGCTCCGTGTCGAAACACAGCGCTGTGCTCGGCCGCCCTACACGCCATTTTGTGGCGAAATTCACCTCAGGAAGAAGCAGAAGCAACCCCAAACTCCCTTCCTGGCCTCACCCCGTTACTCCATTTTTTATTTTTTTTTTAATTTTTTTTTTGATGTTTCAAACCTTGCGAGCACGGCCA